GCCCCCACCACCCAAGAAAAACACACACATAATCCCCAAATATGAGACCCTCTCCATACAGTATATTTCAGCCCTTCTCCTGGTTGAGTACGTGACATTAGCATTGACTTGACTCAAAGTCTGAACACTAATGCCCAAAGAGCGGGGTCAGCCAAGGCTTATCTTACTGACATACACAAGCCCCTTAAAAGAGAAAGCTTAACATTTTTCCTTTTTCCTCTTCAATCTAAGCTGGTGGGCAATTGCTTCAGACCTGATGAACTCCTGTGTGCTAAAATTACTAGAAGCTGTGGCCAGAAGGGGGAGACATTTAACACCAAATAAAAAGGAGACTGGACAACACCCTATCTCAGTAATAACCTCACTCCTAAAAAAATGTCTCTTTAGGCTGTCACTATAGAGTAATATACATAAAACATAACACAGTACATAAAAATGTAATCGAGCTCAACTGAGTTAACAGGGCACGACTGCCTACCCTCTCTCATAAAGGAGTCATTGACATAAACCCTATGGACCCTTTCCACAAAGATGCTTCATTGTGCTAGATTTGGACACCACATGGGGGTTGTTTTTTACAGCAGTCTGACAGGATCATTATGTTTTGTTCCCTTTGACAAGTCTATAATGCAAATATTATTTCATTGTAAACGATCTTCCAGTTCAATTACAGTACCTTCCATTTTAAACTTTCCTGCTTCTCTTAGTGAACATTTAGTCTCTTTTTTGTTCCTATTGTTCATTCAAGAGTGTTTAGAGACCAGTTCACAAGCAATAACAACACACAAGAATTAAGTGTTTAGAACATTTATTGAGTGCTTAGGCGCAGAAGGATTTGACTTAACCCACCTGGTCAGGGGCCAACCCTTTGACTTTCAGATGAAAACAACCAAGCTAGACCCAATACCACTAGAACTGAAGAAAAAAGTATAGAGAAGCTGAGAAAAATTAATTCTGGGACAAATGGTCTGAACTGTTGAACTCCTTCGGGCAATTAAAAGAAAGCTGGAGAAATGCTTGCTTAAGGACATTTGTATTTGTTTTCATATATAGGAGCATAGGCCTCTGATAACCAGCATCTCAGTTTTTTTAATAATAAAAAAATCTTATAGAAATAGAAAGCCTTGACATTCAGCTGAGGAGGCTGTGCCCATCTGGTATGAAGGGTCAGTGAATTGTTCAGAGGCAAATCTGAACTTTGTAAGAATGCCATGGAGATGAAAGAGAAACAAGTTATGAGACACTGTGTGAGCTTTCTCATTAATGAAAAGAGGATCAGCAGGAGACAGTCTTTGAGAGAAACACTACACTTAACTTCAGTATGGGTTCATAGGGACTGATGTAGGAACGTATTTTGAAATAATATACATAGATGCCAGAATTAACCTGTGTTTTCTGATATATGCAAATGAGCATTGGTGAGAAGAATTATTGAAAGATGAAGCATTGAATTCAGAGCATCACAAGAAGCCAAAAAAGGGTGATAGGAAGAAAGATTTGAGAGTGTCACCCTGCCAATTAACTAGATCTAATAATATATATAGTGTACCAATTACAGTGGATATATATTTATTTTGTATGGGCATCACAGAGAACAGGAGTCCTTTGAAGAGCAGAATGATTTGTGGATGAAATTCAGAAATTTCTGGATCCGAGAAAGTGTCATCAAGGACAACAGGAGCTGAAATCCATGGCCAAAATCATAGAATGCTTTGGAACTGAGCTGGATGGGATGTCCAGCACTGAAGTAGAACAATAGATGGAAACAAAAGCAGAAGTCAGATTATAAACTGGGGATGTACTGTAATTTGGATAGATATGGGGCCTGAAGCTCAGTTTGTTGATAATTTGGTGGATTTGTAGGGTGGGGGATAGATGGAGGAGGGTACCAAGTTATGTTGAATACCAGGAGGCAGAGAGGACAGAGGATCATAAGACACCTGCTGGCTGTCCTGGGGGTAAATCACTAGACAAACTAGGACGAAGAGAAGGACAAAACGGAGGAAACAAGAAGTGATGATTTTGAGCTGTATAGGATGGTGGAGACAGTGGTAAAAGAAAGAACGGAAATTCAATTCAGTAACATTGGAGAACATGGAAAACCTGGAAAGACTTAATGGATTGGGGTCTTAGAAATGGGGGAGATCAAGTAGAGCCAGTAGGACCAGCTCTCAAATAAATAGAGAAAATAGAGGTTTACTGTAGATGAGGAAAAGAAAACACAGGCATAGGCATCCAGAATAGATTGAAAAGGTCCAGTCAAAAGATATGCAAAAGATACATGCAAAGGTGAAAATGCTTACAACTTATGTTTAACTTGTAGAATGACTACAAGTTAGGGCTGTTAAGGTGAAAGTGAGCTTGGCTGCTGTCATCCCTCCTGAGCATTTGAAACTCCGTTTACTGAATATCTGAGACCTGACCATTCAAATCTCCAGCCATTGCAGCAATCTGAGACCTTGCCATTTCCATCTCAGTTTTCACAATCTGGACCACCTGTTCCATTCTGAGCTCTACTAGATCAACCATATTAGCCAGTTGAGGATAAAGAAACTCTCTATCTTCTAGCTGGGAAAAAAACAGGAGAGGAGTCTAACATCTTCCAAATCCCCCCAAACTCAGACACACTAATGGCTCTAATCAAACAAAAGTTTGGTGTGGTGGGACAAAGTCCTAGCACACTGGCCACATGATTTTGTCCACAGTACCTTTTCTAAGAAACTATGTTCATTTCAACCTCATTTGTAAATACAATGTAATTACAATATATACTCTTTTTTCAACTCATACCTTCATACCTTTGTGTACAACACAAATTAAATTTATATTTACACATTAAATACACATCTGCACATTCATGTTTATAACTGTGTGTGTGCTCTGAGATGAAGACTCTGCAGTGTCTGCCTGTAACCCTGTATTGGAAAATGAATGGATAAATTAAATAAAAGCGATATTTAATGTAGAAGTGAAACTAAGGCAAACTAGCAGATCACAGCTATACAACAAGATTTAATAGCAGGATGTGTTTCTAGGGTATAGCATAATCATGTAAGTGCACATATGTAATTCATTAAGAAATGTGCTCAGGTTTTGTACTATGGACAGTTATTTTCAGAAACAAACTACGGTATGACTGTTATATGTTGCTTCAGGTTAATTGGAGAATTCAAAACCAATCACACTTGAAGACCTTTGTGCAAAGTAACTTTGAAAGAAGTAGAAATACAAATAGATTGGCTAGAGTTTATTTGCCTGTAAAAACAAAAGCCAGATGAATAAATCCGGATTCTACCCAATCAACCAAAGAGGTATTTCTGAATTAGTCTACTAATTCTATTCTAGTCTACAAATTCTGTTCATTATATGTGTGTGAGTGTGGTGTGCTTTACCACTCATTCAAAGACTAATACTGTATATATCACAATTGCTTACTTGAAACCATTGAAGCTTGCTCAATAAATTTTCAGGTTTATGGATTTTCATCTTAAAATATTTGAGGATATTTTCTTCTATTTAAAAAAAAACTGCCAAATGGGACTATTTATCAGGGAGTTCTGTGGCTGCTACTTTTTATGTTTTACATATGTACAGTACTATACTCTAGGTACTTTTAAGCTTTGAATAAGTTCCAATCATGAATGAAAGGAGAGTGGAAGTCATACTGTGTGTTTTGTTATAACAAAATGCATATGTGACTGATGTCTGGGATGGAAAATCTTCCAGGTTTTTACCATGACTTTTGTACTTCATACTAGTGGCAACTTTTTTAAATGTCCAAACCCAATGCGCCTGTTATGAGAGGCTAACTGAAATAACAACAATTTCCAGCATTTATGCCAAAGCACTGCAAATAGAAGCGAATCACCACAGATTACAGTTGTCAAGAAAAATAATTTCCCCTACAGTTTTAACAAGCGCAGATAGAGATCTTTAATCCCTTAACAACATCAAAACAGCACACAGAATGAAAACAAAATCTTAGTGCACTATAATAGTGGGGACAAAAGATATTATTAGTTAATTAGACGTTACAGAGATATTAACTTTAGAGTAAAAGGAGGTGAAACACATAATGTACACAAAGCATACATATAGTGGGATTTGTTTCAGATTGATGCACCTTTTCATAAACACTAAATGCTTCTTATATCTCTTTTGTGCCCATTCAATGTACTAAATTATTTCTAACACAGACAACAAAAGAGAAAAACAAGCTCCACAGAACAGTTTTACTATGCCTACTTTCTAAAAAATGTTAAATGTAAAATGAAACTGTTTTTTAGAAGTCCCAAGAGAAATAAAACTGCAGGATTGCAAGGATTCTTTTAATTTCACTAGACCTCCCTTGTTGTAGATCTACAAATCCTGAACCTCTAGAATTGCAAGCAGTTTTGGGTGCACCTATGTGCCATAATGAAAATTATAGTTCTATGAAACATTCAGCCAACATTTTTTCACCTCCTTTCCTTGTTTTTATGATGATATGTGCTTTAGATTTAAGCATTTGACATATTCTAATGCTGTCCATATTAATGTTATCAAAAGTTTTTTTTTATCTAATTCCCAAGAAAGTTACTTAATATTTTTGTTTAGAGAATTACTCATAGTGCTGCTTATAGTTGCTATTTTGCAAATTAACTGCCTGCACACTGTTATAATATATTATTAAAACGGCATATTAATACAAAATGCCAGGGATCCAAATGTGCAATATAATGATGTATCAGTAATACTGCCTGTTTGCTAGAAATGGTACCAAAAGCCTCTTTAGACTTCAGAAATAGAAAACAATTTCACAAAAATAATAAATTCCCAACATTTGTACTGACAAATATGAATGTAATACACTTCCCATAAATCCTCTGAGTGACTTCCTGAAATGTGTCTATGTCATGAGTCCCTAAGCTGCCAGTCAGTGGCAGATCTCATCCAGCCCTGGTTGCTTCACCAGTAGTGGTCTCTGGTGACAGGCGGATGCAGAGAATTAACACACAGAATACATTATTTAAAGGTTTATTTTCTGAAAAATACTAGGGCAGGGTTTCCAGACATTTTTTCAGCATGGCACAGGACACGAGTACAGCAGTTGGTAGTGGGGAAATTACTAACATCACATTCTCCCATTTAAAAACATTTAACATAACTACTGTATAACTCACTAAAACATGACAAACATTAGCAACTTGTTGATAGAACACATTTATCTAACACAGTTCAGTATTTGTATCTGACCCCCCACAGCCTCCTATGTACACTCTTTACACCTTTTTAGCAAATATGAACTTAAAGCTTAACCAATGAAACAGTGACATTGCTAAACAGAAAACTATTGATACTGTATCCCTAATACCATACCTCATGTTGCATACAAATATATTAGTCGTAGTGCTCAATCAAGGTATCTCCAAATGTGTACAGCAGAGCTCATGTGGTAAAGTAAATGTTAAATGGCAAAGAATGTTACGAAGAAACCACTGTACACCCAGAATACACATGCTTTTGTCCTATGGCCCCTAACCACTCAATGGCCCCTGTTTTTAACTTGTTTCAAAACTTTTGATTGTCAGTAACATTTATGTATAAGTGATTAGTGAACACTTATGTTCATAAGGGTAGGCAAGACATGCTGTACGCTGACTCTGACAGGAAAATTTACATTTTTAAAATATATCAGCAGTCCATGAAACATTTTCATCTGAGTGGTACTAAAACACAAGCCACATGGGAGCTTTCTCCATTGCCAAGCATTATGGAGAGCATGAGGAAAGCACAGCCAAAGCTAATACCTCTATGGCAGGAGCTGAGCTTTGCTGCGATGCAAACCAATGAATTGGGCTCGTAGGATGATCTGAGCGGAGTAAACAACATGATAAGAGACCTCTAAAGAATGAGCCTGGAGAGGAACACTCAATCGGAGAGCTATTATCATTATCAAAAACAGCACTCTCCATTTGTCATGCTTTTCATCATGTTGCTGGTGGCATTTTAAAATATCCAGCAAAAACCCATGGTCTGTCGGGCTGATTTTCTGAAGGAAGGTGGGATCCTACATTCAGCTCTGCTCCAGGACCTTAGACCGCTAATACTAGCCTTTGATCTCCCTGATGGAATGGAAAAATCAGGAACTATTAAGAATACATAGTAATACAAATTGTTTTCTGACATTCAAACACACTGCATTATTTTATCGAAAACAAAGTTATGAAAGGCAATGATACAAGTGTATTTCTGTGTGCACTTCAGTCCAGACAACTTGTTTGTTCAAGAAAGCTCATGTGTGCAGCAAATCCTTGTGAAAAAGGTTGACACAAATAATACATATATTCCCCCTGGTGGCTGAAAAGTGTAAACACAACTGTAAAAATCCTTAAATGTTTTTTTTTAAATGAGGACTGTGCTGAAGGATTTCTGTAATGGGAATATAGCAAAATATATTCAATGCTTTCCATTAACCCACAAAAAAGAAAAAAAAACATGAGCTCCTTGTGCTTGTTTTAGTTAATTTTATGTAAATGTAAATAATAACAGGTTGTGAATAGTTAATTTGATGTAACATATTATTAGCATAAAACACTTGCTATTAACAAAGAAAATATGAGCAAATTACTTTCTTTAACATAACTTATAAAATAACAAGCCTAAAATTTTCAATTGCTCATAATTACAAACCTTTTTCTGTAAAACAAAAACTGCTGTACTACTAATACAATTCTTCCTCTTCTTCTTCTTATTATTATTCTTTACACTTATATACAGTAGCACTTTTCTTGACACTCAACTCAGAGCATTTTACAGGTAATGGGGACTCAGCTCCACCAAAACCCTTGTGTAGCCCCATCTGGATGATGCAATAGGTGCCAAAGTGCTCACAGTACGCTCAGAAATGGAGAATAAAGTCAATTCACAGTAGTGTCCTTCCTTCTTTTTATAACTACTGCTGTTGGAAGAAACTGGGACAAGAACGTTGTGCAGTGGTATAAGAAGAAATCTGTGTTTTTATAATAGTCAGGTGTTGTCAATGTACAGTAATTTCCATTTCAACTTAAAACTCATACCTTAAATCAAGCATCTCTCAAACCTTTTCATCATTTTCTGAAGTGGTAGACTGTTTGAACTTGCATAACCCATGGCAATACATGTGAAAGTGACTTTTATGAGAAACAGCTGAAAATCAAACAACAGCTAACCTCTTAAATATGTGGCTACTATTCTCAAATAAAGGTTTGTTCTGTTGTCGTACTTCACCTTCACAATTATGTCCTGTTCTACTTTCTGTCTAAGTTTAGGAGGTTTCAGAATTACACTGATACAATTCTTTGCTTTTTTATTTGTAACATCACGAAGGAATGTTTCAAATATTAAGAAAAAACTATAGCTTCACTTTAAGATTTTTTATAAAAAAATATTACTACAGGTTTGCATTATATACAGGTCTGTGTTCATGGCTGCACCTTCAAACCTGCAGTAACATGATTAATAATTTCACCTTAAATTAGATTTATTCTCAGGGACTCGCAGATGATTTTAGAACTATGTCATGAGACAATTACTCTCAAATAGTACAAAGAAAGACTTTCCCCAAGCTTGGATGAAAATCAGAAACAGGAAAATTCTGCCATCTTGTGACAACAGATATTAAACTACGATGTAGCATTGGAAGTTTAAATAGTATCTTGGTTTCCACTGACCAAGGTTATATGTAACCTGTACTGTATCTAATTTCCTTCAATTAAGGAAAAACTGTTAAATATGAAAGCTTCTCATTTGTGCTTTCAACCCTACAATATCTGATTTAAGTAATAATTCTTTACATTCATATTCAACCTGATTCCAAAGTGCTTTACATATACTAAAGTGTCCCACTTCATCCACCACTTACAGATGCAGCCATTCAAAATGCGCTGTACAAACCCATACTGCACGCAATTATCCACAAGTCACTGCACTGTACCACGGTACGTGATTGGCTGGCCAAAATGACCGACAGGGGCACTCGTGGTGAATTGGTCATTAGTGAAAAGATTTAATCATTTAATCTCTTTACTGTGCATGTTTTAATCCGCTTAGTTTTGAATATTTTATGGAATTTTACAACTAAAGGGAAATTTTAGTAGCTGATTATAAAAAGAAGAGGAGCATAACGTGTCTGATGGTCATAAACGATATTAATTTAGGAACATAAACATCTAATGTAAACTGTATATGGCTGGTCTTGGTAGTTTAAAGAAAAAATACACACCAGTATTCCACTTTCTTCCTAAACATTTTAAACATCAAAGTCTTATATATGGTTATTTTGGAAACTTTTTTACATGCTCCTTCTGACCATATTAAGTTGATATACTTTGTAAAAAGTTATAATGTTTTAAATTTTTCTGCAAATATGCTCGTTATCGGAGTAAACAAAAGCATACTTTTAGAATTTGATTAATAGGGAATATAATATGGAATCACATATCTAAAGAAATTATAACTATATTAATTTAAGGATCTACAGTAATACTGTATATGTTGAAGGCCCAGCTAGGGTTAGGGTTAAATTCAAACACTACTTAATCAATTTTTAAGCCCAGTGCCGGATTTTGGAGCCCAAGAAAGCTTTTCGAAGAGTGTTTATTTTGTCTGTTCTGAAATTTTTCTTTTGGAAACTCCTGGCTGCCTTGATGGCTCAACGTACCATTTGGAAATTGTATTGCAAAACAGTCCGTCGGATCAAAAGTGGGACCAAAACATTATCGAATCTAATAAAGTTGGAACATCTTTTCTCAATGGCTATGATAGTTTCTCACTCATACAGTTTGCTTTGGGGAATAGATCAAAATCCGATGACTGGACGGCTTCATAGACAGATTGTGAGAGGGCTCAGTTGAAACCCCAGCTAGGGTTAGGGTTAAGATTCAAACTCAATTTAAACAATTTTTAAGCTCAGGGCCGGGATTTTGGGCCTATGACAGCTTTAGCATGATTGTGTTTTTGGTCCTTTCTGATTTTTTTTTCGGAAACTCCTGGCTGTCTGTATAGCGCGACATACAGACAGGTCAGTAAGTTTAAATATTCCTTAACTACTCGACACATACTGTACAATACAAGTCCCCAGTATACAGTATACTGTTCTCTGCCAATGCATAAGCATTCAGCCCTTGTGTCACAATTTCACATTTTATAGAATTGCACATGTATACACTTTTTAAAATAAACATTTGTAATCAAAATGTGAACATTGAAACTGAATAAAGATACTAAACTGAAATAAAGGTTAATGAAGTTAAACATAAACAAAAGTACAAAGAAATCAAACACTGAAATGTTTACTGCAGTGGTTCTCAAACTGTGGTACGGGTACCAGCAGTGGTACGTGGAGTGCCGCCAGCTGGTATGCCACATGACCCTGGAACTTTGTGTGCGCGGAAAAATCAGGATGGGTTTTCACATTTTCTATTTTAATACGTGTCGAATACACCGCCTACGTACTACAATACAGTGTGCACTAATACTTCAGTGGAATGCGTGCTACAGACTTAAGCGACCAATTGTATTTAAAACAAAAGTTATCTTCAGCAAATAGGGAGGTAGGAGAATGTGCGTGATTTTGGAACAATGCCAATGTTGTAAACACAGGAATGCATAGAAATACGTGCTATGAATGCTGGTAAACTTGTGAGCACAAGAAAGCGTGACAGATAACAGAAAAATATTTAAGAATTGTTCTCAGTTAATTTGAAAAAATACACAGAGCGTCTCTGTGTTTCACTCCCATGCGCATGAAATAAAAACTTAAAATAAAAACGGAAACGCGGAAAAATGCAAGCTTGCGTTTTGCCAAAGCAGGTAAGCCCCACACTATTATGTGTGGAGAAAAAGCTGCTAAACAGCTCGACCTGCTACCCCCACTGAAAGACAATTATTGATATAGCGGAAGATATTAAAAGTACGCTGATAGAGCGCGTTAAGATGAGCAGATGTTTTTCACTGCAATTAGACGAGTCTGTAGTCGATTTGGCCAATTTGCTCGTTTATGTTAGATATGAGTTTGAGGGTACGTCCCATGAGAACTTTCTGTTCTGTAAGCCACTACCAACAGGAACTGCAGGAGAGCACATATTTCAGCTTCTAAATGAATTTATCGAAGAGAATGGCATCTACTGGATAAAATGTGTCGGAGTTTGTACAGACGGGGCTAGAGCAATGACAAGCCGACACAGCGGTGTAGTTACACGAATTAGAGAGGTTGCTCCAGAAATGAATGGACGCATTGCAACATTCACCGCGAGACCTGGGCCGTCAAGAAAATGCCTGACGATTTAAAATCTGTTAGACTCTGTTGTGAATTTTCTCAAGGCTCGAAAAGTGAATTCACATCTGCTTTGCTCAACTAAATAGGCTCACCCCTCTCACTGAAATGGTGCTTTTTTATTTTTTTTTATTTGTTGTTGTTACTGTTTTTTTCTATAAAACGGTTTGAGAAGCCACTTCTAAAGGCGCTATATCAAATAAAGTTTATTATTATAATATTTATTATATGTATGTGTGAGTGTGTGTGCATGCGCACTCATATTGGTCATTGTGAATTTCTGGGGTTCCTATGAGATGATGACTTGTAGGCGGTACTTGGATGCTTTGGTTGGATTAGGGGTTGTACTTGGTCCAAAAAGTTTGAGAACCACTGGTTTACTGCATACTATACAGTATGTATTCAGTAATCTACTGTAAGTCAATGGTGCAGAAGCACCTTTGGCAACTTTACAAGTCTATTTGGATAAGTCTCTAACAGTTTTGCATAGCAGGACTTTACTTTTCTGAAACTATTACTAATTCCACTTGGCACTGAGATGCATCACAGCTTAGACAACGTAACTATATTTGAACTGTGATTAAGATGGTGTTCCAAAAATTTTAGGATCTTCTGCCATGAGTCTTCCTGGGCATAAGAGTGAAGTTTTGTCTCTCCTCCCCACAGCATGATAACTGAATGAAAATTGTGCAAAAGTCAATAGCATTGTTTTCTCTGATTTTGAATACTCATTTACACATACAACTCTTAAAGAAAGGATTAAATTGGCACAGAATCTGCTGTCCTTAGATTTGATGGATAATATAAATTAAGCAATATTAATAAAACAGATTTACAGAATATAAAATGTTCACATTTAGAATGCAATTGTGAAAATCTACACTTACACTAGTCTAATCTACACTAGCCTAAACTAAACAATACCTAATATTTTCAAGTAAATAATTTGATTTAAAAACATGTTAGAGAAAAATGAATACTGCATATGGAAAGTATGACATTTACAGGAACCAACAGGAATATGTTAGATCTGCAACTATTTGTTTTGACATTTTGCTTTGACAATATTGTACAGCTATCACTGTATTAAACTTACCTTTTGTCTTCGTTTGTGATAATAAAAACTTGCTGTTTCTTATGTGTGGGGAGTATGGAGGTTCTATAAGGTGACCAGCTCCAGGGTAGGAAAGCACTGTTAACAGATTACGATTCCCTGCTTGTTCCATCATTTTCTCAATCTGTGGAATAGAAGCATTTTTTTAGTGTATTACTTTTCAAGATACATTTTGGTCAGTGCGTTAGTTCTGCTTTAAGCAGATTAAGTATTAATAGGTAAAAAACAATGTAGAGGAATCAGTCTGTGGAGAATAATTTAAAGAGATGATTAACGTTTTAATTCAGGTCGGCACAACTGTGAGTGGTAAGAATCTGTGTATACTGAAGAAAATTAGTTGATGGGGACATATGGTCATAGAATTAAACTGTCATGGAGAACTGACATAAGCTGTTGCAGGTAAGAACATTGTGTGATTCTAACTTTTATCTGGAGTACACATTTTAGTTGTGTACCATTATAAATACCCTTTATCAAATAACATTTTGGAATTTTGCAACATGAGTCATGGAGTCATGAATCTGAATATTCTAAACAGCAAGTAACAGGACAGCCACTTTAACATATATGATAGAATTATAGTTAGAAAAAAACTTTTCAAGTTTGAGTAAAATATTTTTGTATAATTAAGGGGAAATGTAATTGTACGCAAAATTTGTATGGTTTTGAGCACATTTCTAATTTAATTTAATTCTCTAAACACAGACACGATTATTGCACAAAAAGCAAATTAGCACAAACTATCACTTTAATCCCAAAAAAGGCAAATTGCATTAAAGAGTGATTTAAGGCATGGACATGTAAAGTACAACTCACATCCTCAGCAGATTCTGCTGTTGCCCAGGTTTGATCATCTCCTCCAACAATAAATAACAGTGGGCACTTTATCTTCCCAACCTAAAAATGAAATAACAGAACATACAGTAAATCATTGAACAACACATTTGAAAATTAGAACCAGTGCTTGAGAGACAAAGAAAATCGTCTACCCATTAACAATTAAGCATCATCCAAAGAAAGCCTAATCATTTAACATGAAAACACGTACAGCAGGAAATATATACTGTATACACATATGATCAGTCATTCTTCTTTACTCTTATTTAAAATATTACTAACATATTGAATAGTTCAAGTAATTCAAGTAAATGCCCTATTGTCCAATGTATGCAGTTTAAAAGACACAGAAACCCATGCCTCCTCTGATTAGATTTATGACACTTAAATACTTTGTTCTTTTGCAGAATGACAACTGGAGCAATTACGTTTCTAGTGTCTCAAGGGTAGGGTAGGCCTTGTGCATCAGAAATATGTGCTTCTGATGTTAAATCGCAATTCGGCTTTGGATAATCTCGAACTTAATCTTGAACCAATCAGGAATTGGTAGGGCAGGGTAACCCCACGTGGGTCTCGAATGCCCATGGAACTTTCAACCAATGAATGACTGTAGTTCGTCCGGGTAGAACAGGCAGCACAGGGCTCCTCTAGTGCTCCTCCTGGACATCCTCAGACTCAGCTCGAACAATCACGTAACGGCCAGTGTGTCCGAGTGCCAGGACTTTCCTTTGTTCTAAGAGTTGAGAACGGAGGTTGCCAGCGCGTAACCAAAGGATCCACCCGAGGTTAGCCCAGCAGCAAGCCTCGTGAACCCACCGCAAACGCTCACCTGATCAACAAGTGAACTACGGTCGGAACTGTGGACAGCTGAATCTCAGGATTCAGGAGTATCGCTACATCAGGAACGAACCGGTCTTCTTCCTGTCTAAAGAGTGTGACCTGCTTGGACCGGCAGTCACTTTTCTCCTGTGCACTCTCTCTCGTTAGTTTCAGCCAACACTTACTAGCCAGTAAGTGAGAGCCTTACTGGCCTACTACCAGAGCATCACAGCAAGAATCTTTCCCACTTCTCTCTCGTCGAACCAGCACTGCCTGGCACCGGGCCAGATAACGCCGATTGGACTTGGCAACAGCCTGCTGCTGTTCCTTTGTGTCCGCAGGAGATCTGAATCCACACAGATTGGATGACTATTCAACCTTCTGCATTACAGCTCGAGAATTCAATTGTTACCTCAACCTGAGTTGATATCAATTTAATTCCTATGAGTGATGTACTTGCTTTTGAGTATCTAGTGTAGAAGTTGTAATCCAAGTTCATTTACGAAACGGTCTAAATGAATGATATACTGAAAGTATGTCCCTTTTGGTTTGTAACTCTTCGTGATTGGATATATACCTTTTGTATTCTGCTAACCCTCATGATAAGATCTGTTATGTTTATATGCACATTTTATGTATTAATAAATGTATAGTTGTATATTAGTATGTGTGTGTGTTGCTGAGTATCACGTTGGGTAGGTCTTCTAATAGCCCTCAAAGAATCATTTTGTGACTTACTGCTACAATTAATAATTGGCCCAGTAAATGCACAAAACCCCTACATTTATTGGTGCCTTGTGAGAGGATGCCTACACAAGGATTAGATATACACTTATCTTAGTTATTTGCAATAATTCCAGTTGTTTTAATCTGTTACCACACAGAGGTTTTTAATCAACATAGGCAAAACATAGGATAAATTTTATGAACTTAATGAAAAAATAACATTAGGAATATACGTACAGCATCACACATCAGACATTAACAGATTGAGGAGTCCTACATCCAAAAGGTCAAGGAGACTCACCAGCTGATTTTTTTTTGTTCACTCACCTCCAATTTTTCATTTGGATCTGTAGGAATAGGCAGAATTATATTCCTCCAGATCATGTGATTATTCTCATCAGTGAGTATTTTGTGCTTCTTCCTGATAAATTAACAAAAATTTAAAAGCAAATCATGAAACAGCAATAACCACAATCTACTTACTCTTAATAAAGTACTACAGTATGCCACACTTTCGTTTATTGAAAATGGACATAATTTCTCCCACTTTCTAGCTCAGTATTTCCATTTTTTTTAGATAGAAAGTTAATTTAAATGCTGTACATGAGTTTGCATTGGTTTTCTCTGAGTGCACCTGTTTCCTCTGAGTCTTCCTTCTTTCCAGCAGACATGAGGAAATGCATGCTTGCTACGTGTAGGTTCACTGTTTCTACATTGTTCTTATGTGTGTGTGTGTGCACTACTAAGTACTGGCATCCTGTCCTGGCATAGTCCCACCTTGTTCCCTAGGCTCTCTAGGCTGTGGACTTCCGTTAACAGTAATAAGGGACTTTCTGATAATAGACAGTCTTAATTTTGCTTATGAAATACATACAGTATGCTGTGTGTGTGTCAGAGGTCTACAGTTTGAAATACGGGAACTATACAGAACATAAAGTGTAGTTGAGCTTTTATTGGTCCAAAATGTTTCCATTTGAAATCCCTTCAGCATGTGTGGATAATAAGATGCATAAATGAACAACATGCCTTCCAGACTTACTGGTTTTATAAACTGCTTCCTGCACTTTATGTAGCTTAATGAAAAATGTAATTTTAAATATGCATTTTTCAACATGGTTTAACTGCAATTGTTACATAATAAATGTCATCTATGAACCAGAGAGATTGTGAAATGACTCACTTGTAAATCTCTGCAAAGAAATTCGGAATGGACACATTTGCAGACATAACATGGCTCCCACTGATGCATACCATACACTTGGGCTGAGAAAGCACAGCATTAATGACAGCCAGAATACATGTATTGGTATATACAATGCCTTGTAAAAGTATTGTAAGTATTAACCTAACAGTAATGATACAAACCACTGTTGTATCACAGAGAAGAGCTTTAGAAAAGATGTCTCAAAGCTGAAGGAAATGAAAAAGAGAGCATAAGAGGAACACAGACTGTAATCAAGACCTTTATCCACTCCTACTGTACATGTTGTCATTTCACTTTCTTTCCAATTTACATTTTTTAAATCTGGTATATGAAAATTAAAGAAAACAATTTTGCAAATACAAAATGGAACATTTACAAACTTTCCAAGCATAGTGTTCATGGGAAATACAACTGTTATGCACTAAAACTGAAACTGCTTCAGAAACAGATTTGATGAAGGGTACAGTATATTATACTTACATGTACTACTGTTGAGTATACCGCCAGTGCTAATGCAATACTTGTTCCCAAGGATAAACCAAGCAATGCCACTTGGTCACTGGCAACCTGAGGGTGGTCTTTAAGGAGGGTGAATGCTGCCTAATAAATACATCATATAAACAATAAATCATAACATTTACTCAAATAAACCTTCCCACTGTTATTTACACTATCATATTTCCCTACCAGTTTTACTTTCAAATTGTATGCATTATATAATTTTTTTCAGTTATTGTTTGTTTGCTTTTTCACAGAAAAAAAAGGAATAACAACACCTGAGAATTAAGTGTAATTGTAGGATTATGGAGCATTGCAGTCAAAATGTGTGTTAACCCTCCTGGTCACAGGATGATAAGGCTAGGACCCTCATGCAGAGACCAGAGTGACCAAGGGGCAACTGCAAAGGTGTAGATAGGGTGCAGGTGGGATGCAAAAAGACATATGTGAGGGAGATGGGGATAACGTATGATCATTATCTTAACCTTTCTTAATGATGTACCATTCCTAATTAAACTCTCTTTGGTTACTGCAAAGTTATCTGAACATTGCAATGCAGTCTATGACCATAGAGATGTACATATTAAAGATCCAATTGCTACAATTTCAGACATATTAGTTACCCAAAGAACCATTAAATTACTGTCCTTTGTTAATCTTCTGTAGCATTTAACTAGAAGAAATTCTATCACGGCTGTACATGCAATGGATCAATATTGTTCATTAAAAATAGATTTATATTTTGTTTCTCTGTTCATCCATGGGGAAAACCATGCTTACAAATTTTGTAACTTTGGCTATTTCTCTTTTAGGTTGTTTGTAGTTAAAATCCACAATTTAACTTGTAGGTTGAGGTGTTGGATTAATCCAGGCTGAAGTCTGTTTATTAATTAAATCATGAATATTTTATGCATAAAAGAACAATTTTACTTTCCACTCACTAAGACTACAGTATACTCTATAAAAATATAAAAATGTAACTGCCTCCTGGTTTTATGCAGTTTTCTAAGGGTGTTTTACATTTCAGAAAACAAATAGTGTTTAGTTCAACATCAAATTCTCTCTTGTGTTAAATAATTCAATTTATATGAAATAATTAAAAGATTATAATTAATATTAATAACATTGTTATAATAATATAGTTGATAATACAAACATTAGTTCTTAAAAGTCAGGCACCTGCTCAAGACTTACAATACAGTATATCACATCTATAGAAGAATTAATCATGCAGAGCAGTACAGGATCTCCTTGTTATTCATCATAGCATATATAGCGAAGAATATGCAAAACATGATCAATGAATGGAGCAATTGTTCTCTAATAAATCCATGATGATTGTGCAACACAATGGATGCCAGAGAGTTTACAAAGTATAGGAGGATTAAAAGATGAAAGTGAAAGTGCAGGCGGAGTTCGCATGCAAGTCAATTCCTTCATTTCACAACACAAATTAGAAAATGACTTCTGTGCCTGTTTGAAATTAACCCCTGTCAGAGGCGGGAACCGATGGCAAATATTTAGAGAGCTGGCATGAGCCAGAACAAACTGGAGAGGAGTGCCCAGAACAGGATTGCCAAGAGTACGAGGGAGAAAAATTGACAATGGCCTATTCTCCTTAAGGAACAATGGCTGAAGTAAGCTCAGAATACCTCAAAATAAGATTTCCCAGGTAAAACGTCAGGAGAAGATTCTGTGCTATCACCACGGGGCAAATATTCCACAGCTAGGGACACGTAGCCATGTGACGCAAGGAGAGCTGCCCGGTACTCCACCAGCCCTCCTCCTCCTCCCCACATGTCTAAAATGCCAGGAAATGGTCCAGGACCTTTAAACGAGAATTAACACCATGCTCTTCTGTAAACAAATACTAAAACATTTTCCACAACAAGACCAGGCCTTTTCCTCTAAGATAAACAACTGGTTACCGGGTGGAAGAAAGAGGGTTCCTTGGACTCCACTATGTCTGAGTTCCACTCTATGGACACCCGGTGCCATGTACCAGCGCTCGGTAACAGCACATCCCAGACAGGACTCCTCCTTAAACCCATCGCTGATGTGCCCTTTGTAAACAGAAATTCGCACAATCACTGGAGTACAAACATCCTTCTTCCGTAACCTGAAAGAAAAAGAAGAAAACTTTCTGAGTCTCACTTTCAGACACAAATACCTGAAAAGTAGGGCATCCAGTGTACTCTAGATTTAGGAAAACCATTAAGCCCAGATATGCAGACTGCTTAATCCCTACAACTGTTATATAATGTAACTTTAATTATGATAAATGACTCTGTGATAACCTTAAAATCCAAACACACAAGGCTCTCATTCATTCACACCACCCCCAAGCTTGGACATGGATTGGACATGATATTAATGTTTATACCAAACACAACCCTGAAAATGTCTAAACTATTGATTTGAGATTTCCAGTTGATTCTTTAACCATCTGTCTTGCATCTCCTGTTGGCCAGAGACACTCATGTCCTTTCTCTGGCAGGGTAGCCAGTATACCACTAGTCATAAAGTTCTCGACGGATACCGCAGTAGAAAGTGTTCAGTTCAGCTATTGGTTCAGCTCTTCAATATTCATCCTCCAACCTATATAATCAATGAACTGCTTGCAGTCTTTGAAGACTCTTTGACCTTTATCACATTGACATGGTACTAATGAATAGTGCTCCAGGTGTTATCTGCTTTTATATTCCAAGGAGATGGGAATCCTTCGACACCTTTTATACAGTTCCAGAAGGTTCCATTACACTCCAAAACAGCATAATGTCACTGTAGATGTTTTAGTTGGAGTTTATTTAAAGGAACAAATACAAGTTTGAATCACTGCAGTGTTTTTTTCTGGAATTCAATTTGTGACAAATGTCTTTGTTCTGTGTAATACTATTACTATGACAGTTTTACCTTTTAGATTTAAGCAAGACACAACAATCATTCTGATCTATTACGTTTTTGTTCCTTTTTTAAGGGGTATAAATAATATGCACGTTGAGAGTCATGTTCTGTACATACTGTTCCTCTCATATATGTATTTTATAATAAAACAGCTGTCATTATAAACAGCTATATAGGATGCTAACTTTCAGTGCCAAAATTTAAGAAGCCTGTACTGTATATTACAATTGGTTACAAGTCCATGCATATAATGAGTGGGATTTCATTTTTGTGTAATAAAATAACATATTGGAATTAAATAATATTAAAGTCACTTTTCACTCATTTCCATAGATTTTATATAATCACATATAAGCAAATATATAGCAGTGTATTAACTTTAAACTCATTCTTCTTGCACAATGGTGACTACATGCTAGTATATTATCAGTGTGACAAAGCAAGTTTTCTAGGGTGGTTAAACTATGCTAAAAAATACATAATATGAAGTTGTGATGTTGAAGAAACAGGACCAGTAACTTGTAACATGACTTGTTCTAAAATGCAAACAAGCCTATTAAAATAGTCCTGCTGTAGGTTAGTGTAATTCAAAAATCAGCAGAAAAAAACACTTCAGTTTTTTTTTTTTACAGGGAAAAGTTTTGTATTTCAAATGCATTGTTCTCATAGAGAAAATATAAAAGACACATTAAAATGTGCAAAGAAGGTAGACTGCATATCTTTAGGGATGTCTGTAAATTACTTTACAATTACAACGTCCATTATTGGAATTGTTTTGTTCAACCCTATGGGTAATTTAAGAAAGATGTTTTGTATTGTAGTAACCACAGGTAGATAACAATAGGCTGAAATCTATTGGGGAATAATACAAATCTACACACATGAACACACACAGCTGCATACCTCAAGAAATACAAGATCTTGAATTAAATGTAGGTTAATAAGTCATAAGTTATAGGCTTTCTAAGACAGTATAACACATACAGTATAAATACTACACATCACTTTAAAGCTTTTTACCTAAAATTGTAGTATCAGCCACACACAATTTCATCATACCCATTGCCAAACATTATGGTAGTTCCATCATGATCTGAGTCTGCTTTAACTCAAAAGAATGGAAATACTGTATATACACAATGTAAATATAACAGTGCTTGTCAGAATTGGATTTGGCTACCCCACAACCTGAATTGGATCAGGCAGTTTGAAAATGGATGGATGGAAATCTAACAAAGCACTGAGCCAATTACTCTGCTTAAAAGGCTACACAGTGTAACAGTGTGGTAGAGGACCTGGCCTATTGGTTAACTATTACAGTTATCTACTGGAGGGGTTTGAATCCCAGCAGGTGCTGGGACAGCTCCACTTACACTACCCGGCCAGGATTCGATCACAGTTGCCAGTGTGTCCACATTCAAACAGAGCATTGAAATCCTCAGATACATCCTGTTAAGATTTCTTACAAGGACACAGGCTGGACATTTTCACTCTGTACTATGTTCCCTTAGTTTCTTGTGTTAAAGGACTGTATTGTTTAGCTGATTTTCTTTGCATTTTAATCATCCTGTTTTTCTGCTACAGTATATTGTCTACTTTCTGAGACTGGAACATACTGTAGTTTCTGCAGGTTTTATAACATTTATATATGTATTTTCGTTAGAAATACTTGGTTTAAAGTTAAAGTTAATTTAAATTATGTAATATAAGCACTTAAGAAGTCATAGTTTGTAAAGATTAGGTATACAGTATATACATATTTATTACTGTATAAAGTCCTGTGCTTCTGGGACATTGGATGTGCTGCTGTGACTTTTTTTTTTAGTATTTAGTGGCTTCCTGGTGGTGGATGGGGTATACAGTATGAAGAAAAAAGAGACAATATTAGTATCTGTTTTCTTCTAATTAAAAAAATTACATTAAACAGACCAAGTGTTAGTTTTAGTGTTTTCCAAATTTCAATAGCTTATTCTAACTGCATTTTGTAAGAAACTTCAAATTCCTGATATATTACAGCATTAAAAGATACAGTTTACAGTACCTAAGTCCTGTTCTGCTTCCAGGCACTGTCTTCATACTCCATAAAAGACCCATTGGCTCAAAGCCAGCATACGAACCTCCTAGACACTGATCTTCTGAGACTTCCAAAAAAAAAAAGATATTCCATTAACAAGCATTCAGAAAGATCAGAATAAAACTCTATGTTCTAAGGATCAGGAATAACTATGTATCATTCGTCATATCAATTTATATAATGTTCAAAGGTAAGATTAAACATTAAAACCAATAAATTGCACCTGAATTTTAATTCTTAACAGCACAAGTCACTTTGACAAAGAATAGATGATGTAAAACATAGGACTTATTAATTAATAGGACTTAGGACTTATTAATTAATTTTAATATGCATTAAACCCTGATGTAATTATTTCAGCTATTTGACAAGTAACATCTAAGATTAATTCCTGCTGAATAAGGTGAAAAATCCTTTATGCATTCAACACAAGCTCAGCAGAACATCATACACTATACTACTTCCAGTATCATTAAAGCACAGTATGTAAACTTATTGCAAGAAGTCGGATACCATAGTTCACCAGGTGTAAGAAAGTAGCAGTAGTTTTCACTAGAATAATTGTAACGTTTAAAGTGAGGTCCATGGCCCCTTCTTGGGAAAGTTTCTTCCTAAGAGCAACTTTGTAAAAAGGGTTTCTCCAGCTGGGAAAGCTTGAAAACCTCCTGTAATAGGACACCAGTATGAGAAGACCAATACCACTATCGGCAGCTCTCCACTACTCTTACAAGTATATTTTCAGAGTAATAAGATAATTTAATACCTTTTACTGTTCCTTTAGCGTCGCTGACATAGTGCCCAAAAGCCTCCCAAAAGTCGTCATCTTCAGAATGAATCAAAGAATGTAGGGTGAATGTTTGTCCTGGATTTAAATGTTCAACAACGATTTGAAACTTTTCATCTATAAGTCCTTTTACTGGCTTTACGGTGATCAAGGGACTGACGCTGTTGACGGACATTTTGTTATATCCAGTATGTAAACAGCAGCAAACCGATGCCACGTACAGTATTTCACGAGGACAAGCACGTACTTGTATGCGCGGAGCAAAGCAGTTATCTAACATACAGCGTTAGAATACGAGACACAACCTGCGGCTGGAAATTGGATTCACTTTTCCCTATTAACGGTTACAGTATATAGAGAATAAAATCGCGTTCCTGAATACGAGCTAGACATGTTACAAAATGCTCGAAAAATTAAATTAATTCAAATATTTGTAATGTTTTTAATTCTTTACAGTGTGACGTTTTAGAAAATAGTTCCCTAGTACTACAAATTTACAGGACACGTCTTTGGACACATTTGATTGAAAATGTGATTTGGGCGTTACCTTCTTTTTAATTTTATTAATGATACGCAGATATCAGTAGGATTAAACAGTGCTAGTTTCAGGTACGCCCCAGGTTAAGTTCTTTATGGATACAGTGTGTAAATAAAAACTACGTAGGTTAGGGAATCGGGGTAAAGGTGAAGATTGATGGTTGTGCTATGTAACGCAAACCGTGCTTACTAATGAAATGAAATCTCAGTGATTTACGGTTCGAATAGTTCACGTCTATACTTTTGATAGGTCCCTTCAACAAGTCTCAAGTTTAGTTTTATAAAAATCCTTAAAGTTTATATAATCTATACGAGTGTTACTAGTTTAACGGTGCTGTTGACATTATTATTTGTCTGCGGTGTAGTGATATGCAGAATGTAAAATGCAGCAAAACACTCAGATAATCTATAACAACCACGTACTGTATACGAACAGCTGTGAACTAAAACACTTCCTCCGACAGTCTGTCATAAAATGTGTCTTATATTTTGGTAGTTTAGGGTTCCAATGTGCTATTGCGAAATGCCATAGCGCGTTTTTTTACTCCCTGGCGGAAACGGGCTTCCATACTGTAGGTGGCTCTGTTGTAGTTCAAGAGCTGTTGTCACTGTTCAATAAACATAACTAAATGAATAAAAAATAAATTGTGCTTCTTTAAAACGCATGGTAACACAGGTAGTTGACCGATGTTACTGAGACTTATTGTAACTCAGCTGCGCTTAATCGATGTTACTTAATCTTTTAAGTTCAAGTGACAAGCTCCAATATATTTAGCCGTGTACAAAAAATAAGGGTACACCGGGTGTGTATTTTGTTTTTCTTTTTGATAGAAATAAATACAACATTCTCTTGCTAAAATCTAAGAAGTGTCAAATCTGCATATACATTTACATTATGAAAGAAGAAATACAATCTTTCTAAATCTGCCTCATCGCAACTTTGGAACACATTCTTAGATTTCTCTAGCTCCAAGATCAACGACATCCGGCATCACATTCTCTCCATTACGCATATCATTTCCATACCTCCTCCCTCCTTATCCAACTTTTCTGGGTACCTTCTCTCCAACCTCTCTCTTGACTCAGCATCCCTCAATAAACTACTTACACACATGAAGCTCACCACATTAAGATCCCATTCCCACCACTTTATTTCAATACTGTTTCTCTTCTGTCCCATTGTCCTCAATATTATTAATGGATCCTTGAGCACTGGTGTTGTACCAACGGTCCTCCAAACTGCTGCCATTAGCTCCGTGCCAAAAAAGCCTAACATGGCTCTCGACAATCTTAACAATTTTCGCCCCATCTCCAACTTACCCTTTCTTGCAAAAATTCTAGAACGTGTTGTCACATTTCAGTTACATAACCACCTCATGGCAAATAACCTTTTCGATCCCCTCCAATCTGGCTTCCATCAGCTTCACAGCACAGATACTGCCCTGGTCAAAGTCACTAACGATCTTCTAATAGCTTCTGATTCTGGTTCTCTTTATATACCCATCCTTCTTGATTTCAGTGCTGCTTTTGACACTGTTGACCATGACATCTTACTTTCTCATCTTGAGTTTCTGACACTGCTCTCAAATGGTTCAAGTATTACCTCACTGATCGCTGTCACTTTGTCTCTCTTAATGGGTATACAGTAGGTCTGAAATTGGTCTTGTTAGGACTGGTGTTCCTCAGGGCTCAATACTGGGCCCCTTGCTCTTCAGCATTTACATGTTTCCACTTGGTCAGCTTTTAAGATCACATGGCCTCAGCTATCATTTCTATGCTGATGATACTCAAACATACATCTATACCAAACCTGACACTGATGTGGCTGTCTCTATTCTAATTGCATTTCTGACATAAAAATGTCCTTTATCTTAACTGTGACAAGACTGAACTCATGCTTATTGGCACCCCCATCAACTTGGTAAAGCCAATCCTGTAACCCTATCTTTAGATGGTTCTGGACTTGAGCTTCATTCTAAATTGAAAAACCTTGGGGTGATATTCAATTCTGACTTAACATTCGGCCCACATGTGCAGCATAGTGTCAAAACATCTTTTTTCCACCTCAGAAATATCGCTAGACTATGCCTAATGTTATCACTAACTGTGGCTGAAAAGCTGATCAATACATTTGTGTTCTCCTGAATTGACTACTGTAATGCTGTACTCGCTGGGGTATCTAAATCTACTTTGAACAAACTGCAGTATGTCCAAAATTCGGCAGCCAGAATCCTGATCAGGTCTAGTGCAAGTGATCACATTATTCCTATCCTGGAGTCCTTGCACTGGCTGCCTGTCAAATTCCGTGTGGACTTTAAAATCCTCATGCTCATCTATAAGGCTCTGAATATCTTGGCACCTCAGTACCTGTCTGAACTATTATCGCCCTACTCCCCACCTCACAACCTTCGCTCTTCTAATTCTGGTCTCCTAACTGTACCCCAAGCCCGTCTACATTGTATGGGTGACAGGGCCTTCTCCTGTTATGCCCCCAAGCTCTGGAACTCTCTGCCAAGGATATCAGAGAGTCACCTTCTCTAAACTCCTTCAAATCCAAACTCAAAACCTTCTTTAGAAGAGCCTTTACTTAACTGGTTCCATTCTTTACCCCTCTACTTCTACTTTTCTTAGTACGAGCATCCACGGTCTCCTCTGTATATTGTAATGGTGTTTTATCTTGTGTATTCTTTATATTTAATGTCATTGTCATTCTGTTAAGCACTTTGAGAAGCCACCTTTAAAGGCGCTAAATAAAATAAAGTTTATTATTATTATATTAAACAACCAGTATGCCTTTCTGTAATTATATCTACTGTACAGTAGGTAACCATAACAGGACAACCATTTTCCTTGTCACCGTAGATCTTTGACCCCCTACCACTTTTAAGGGGTGAGCTTTACGTCAGTACTGTGCTTTAAATACTTTTCAAACTTGACATACTTTTTAATCCTTTAAAAATAGCAGATCAGACTTTAAAATGCCTTTTGAGGTACTAATTTCTGTTCAAGAATGTACCTCTAGACTCATGTTAAAAAATACGAATTCTAATGTGATACTTAAGAAAAATCCATTAATTTCCAATTTACTAATCTATAAATCCTCGCCGTAGATATCAGATGTCTACAAATAACATAAAGAGTGACTCTGGTACTAAGGTTTAGTACAGCAGTGGTGAACATGTGTGACGCAACTTGCTGGAAACTCAGCACAAATCGGATTTCCCTATTAACAACTATACAAAGAATAATTACCACGTTCCTGCAGGGTAGAAAAGTTTTCGGAATGTTAGAAATATGGGATTAATTCAAACACTTTTTAAAAGTATTTTTTATTCTAAATAGTCTGTCGTTTTAGGAAATAGTCCCCGAGTGCTAAAATGTTAGGGTTGCTACCACTTTGCTGGGGCCCTAGGTTCAATTTCAGACCTGGCGTACTCTCTGTGTGGAGTTTTTATTTTTTTATTTTCTCAAATGTGTGAATTTTCTCCAGGTGCTCTGATTTCCTCCCACAGCCGAAAGACATACAGTAGTGGTAGGTTAATTGACTTCTAAGAATATTGACCCTGGTGTGTGTATTTGTGTTTGTGTGTACCCTGCGATGGACTGGTGTCCCGTCCACATTATTTTCTAACTTGTATCTCTTGATTGCTGGGATAGGTTTTGGCTCTCATGCAACCCTGTTTTGGATAAAGCAGTTATAAATTGAATGATTCCCTCAGCAAATCCTTGCTATTTTAA